ATAAAGGTCGTATAGGACAAGCCCACAACTAACATCCTACTCAGCAGTGAAAAGTTGAAAGCTTTTCCTCTAAGATCAGGAACAAGAAAAAGATGCCCCACTCTCACCACTTCTGTTCAATATGGTGTGTGACTTGACCACTGAAAACTATAAAATATTAATGAAAGAAATTGAAGAAGAAACAAATAAATGTTCATGGATTGGGAGAATTAATATCATTAAAATGCTCATATCACCCAGAGCAATCTACAAATTCAATGCAAACCCTATAACAATTCCAATGCATTTTTCACAGAAATAGAAAAAAAAAATCTTAAAATTTGTATCGCACCACAAAAGACCCCAAATAGCCAAAACAATCTTTTGTGGAAATAATAAAGCTGGAAGCATCATCTTACCTGACTTCAAAATATGTTATTAATACAAAGCTACAGTAATCAAAACTGCATTTCACTGGCATAAAAAACATGCACATAGACCAAAGGAAGAGAATAAAGAGTCCAGAAACAAATCCATGCATTTATAGTCAATTGGTTTTTCAACAAAGTTGCCAAGAAAGAACATGTTTATTGGGGAAATATCAGTCTATTTCATAAATGGTGCCAGAAAAACTGGACATCCAGATGCAAAAATAAATAAATAAATAAATTAGACCCTTCTCTCACACCACATACAAAAATCAACTCAAAATGGACTAGAGACTTAAACACAAGATGTGAAACTATAAAACTACCAGAAGGAAACATAGGGAAAAGCTTCATGACACTAATCTGGATAACAATTTTAGGGGGATATGACCCCAAAAGCCCAGACAACAAAAGCAAAAGTAGACAAATGGAATTACATTAAACTAAAAAGATTCTGCACAGCAAAGAAAGAAATTGACAGGATAAGGAAACAACCTACAGAATGAGAGAAATATTTGCAAACCACACATCTGACAAGGAGCTGATATCCAAAATATATAAGGAGCTCAAACAACTCAATAGTAAGTAAACAAACAACCTGATTTAAAAATGGGCAAGGAAATTGAATAGACATTCCTTGAAATAAGGCATACAAATGACCAACAGGTATATGAAAATATGTTCAATATTACTAGTCAATAGGAAAAAGAAAATTAAAATCACAATGATATATCAACTCATACCTATTAGAGTGGCTATCATCCAAAAGAGGGAAGATAAGTGTTGGTGAGGATTTGGAGAAAAGGGACCCTCATACACTTTGTGGGAATGTAAATCAGTACAGCCATTATGAAAAGCATTATGGAGGTTCCTTAAAAAATTAAAAATAGAACTACCATATGGTCCAGAAATCCCACCACTGGGTATATATCCAAAGGAAATGAAATCAATATGTCAAAGAGGTTTTAGAACTTCCATGTACATTGCAGCATTATTCACAATAGCCAAGATATAGAATCTACCTACGTGTCCATTAGGAGATGGAGGGATAAAAAAAATGTGTACATATACACAATAGAATACTATTCAGTCTTAAAAAGAAAGAAAATCCTGTCATTTGTGACAACATGGAGAACCCAGAGGACATCATGTTAAGTGAAATAAGCCAGGGACAGAAAGAAATACCACATGATCTCACCTATATGTGGAATCTAAAAGAATTTATAGAAACAGAATAGAATGGTGGTTACCAGGGGCTGAGGTGGAGGTGGGGAGAGGAAGAAGTTGGGGAGATGTTAGCCAAAGGACACAAAATTTCAGTTAAGTAGGAGGAATAAGTTTAAAAGATCTATTGTACAACATGGTGACTATAGTTAATAAGGATGGATTATAGCCTTGAAAATCACTAAAAGTAGATTTTAAGTGCTCACACCACAAAAAATTATAAGTATATGAGGTGATGCATATGTTAATTAGCTTGATTTAGCCTTTCCACCACATATGCATATTTTAAAACACCATGTTGTACATGGTAAATATATTGATATATAATTTTTATTTGTACATTAAATTTTTTTATAAAAAGCAAAATGGCAGTATATAAACAAAGATATGAGGAGAAAAGTGAGTTTTGTGAGTGGGAGACCATCTTGTTTTAGACTACTGATTAGCTATCAGTGGTAGAGAGAAGATGTCATCTGTTCTCAGCATCCATATGGATTCAGGCAAAAGCAAAGGAAGAAAGTCATGGAGAAAATAAGTCTGTTTACACATCTCCCTAAGCTGTATTTGCACATGGTGGTACCAGTACTTTATTTGGAGGGCCAATAATATCATCTTTTCAAATCACATTTCAAATAAATTATGTCATTAAATTTTCCAATTTATCAGTCTCTTATAAGAGCAATTGAATATTGTCTGCAATCTTCTGACTTCCAATAATAAAAAACAATACCCCTCTGGTATACATGTTAGTGGATTTCCAAAAGGAGTTTTTTAGATTACAACTGCTAAGTTCCAATTATTAATGAGGACATAAAATTCCTAACAAAATTATTAGTGACTCAGATTCAGCAATGCATGAAAAAAGTGGTCTACTACAAGAACTCAAAAAAATTTTTGAGGCACCATAGTTAAAGCCTAAAAACAAAAGCCCTAGAATTCAGACTGGGTGCCTGCTTGCCCATTTACAAGAACATTTCCAAAAGAGAGTTACTTTACTCTTTCTTCTTGAAGTTACTTGTCTATAAAGTGAGATTAATAATAGAACCTACCTCTTAGGAATTTCACCAGGGTTAATTAAGGTAATACATGGAAAGCACTCATCATAGTTTCTAACACATAGTAAGCATTAAGTAAATATTCGCTATTATCATCATAATGCCAAAAATGCAAAGATCATATCATATTAGGAAATTTCTTAATGTACTACCCCTCAACAATGAGTCAAAATGCTTTAAAAACAGTAAACTTAAAAGAAAAGTTATTTGATAAAAAGTTAACATTCATCTTTGATTATTTGTTAATGATTTAAAAACTAAGGCAAAGAGAACACTTCATTAACATGAAAATATTTAACCCTTCAAGAAGCATTTTGCTTAACAGTTAAACAACCAAACAGAGATTTGATTTAACATGGGATATTATTTAATAGGATAAAAATATGAAACATACAGAAGAGCTATGACTATTAAAAACAAGAAGAAATATACTTTTTGCACAAGAGAGGGTTATCTCCTGGAGTGTGGAGGATGCAGGAATAAGGGAAGGAATAAGGGAAATGCACTGAAATACATTTAGAGTTGACAATAAATCAAACACATTGACAATTAATCATACACATTATTAAGTACAAAATGAATATGCAAATATCAAAACTTTCCAGAATACAAAAAATAACCATCTAGAAAACAGGACCTGAGGAAAGGAAGACCTCACTTACTCCTGGAAAGAGTAAACCAAACCCATAAAGTGACCAGAAATAACTCGTGCAAAAAATAGGTTGTCCCTGTATTAAAACTTTGATGAGAGATGTAGAATATTTGGATAAATGGAGAAACATACCATATTCCTGGAGGAAAAACTAAGTACTTTAAAGACATTATATTCCCAAACTAATTTATATACCAATAAAGTCATAATTGGGATTGAGGAAGAACTGAAAAAAATTATTCTCATTTTTAATTATGATAATAAACAGGAATGAAATAGCCTTGACATTTTTTCTGTCAAATAAAAAATCATGAGGAGGAAACAACAGATGTTATAACATATAAATCTACATTAATTATGTTGCTGACAGAGAATAAGAACAAAGATCAATGAAACACCTTAGAAGTAGATCCTACTATTTATAATTTTGATAGATGGTAAAAGAAACATCAAAAATCAATGGGAGAAATAATTATTCCATAAATGATGCTGAAAACTTTGTTGGCTATTTAGAAAAAGAATTTTCAATTCTGAAAGCATACAATATATCTAGTTTCAGATTGATTTAAAAATTAAATGCAAAAATTTAAACAAAAAAATTATCTTCTAAATAGATGGGGAAATATTACTAAGCACTAAAATAGTAAAAGAGTAGCAAAATAAATCATGTCAAAATGAAAAGTTTGATAGTTACCTATATAAAACTTAAAACTTTTCTAGGTCAAAACCAAAATTAAATGGTTAAATAACAAACTGTAAAAGTAGTTACAACTAATAAAACAAAAGTTAACACCCTAACTATATAAAGAGCTCCCACAGGTCAGTAAGGAGAATTACTAAGTTCTCTGTGAAATAAATGAGCGACAGACATTAAGAGGCAAGGAGGAAACATTAACAGAGGGAAATACAGATCACTAATAAGCATGTAAAAAATGCTAACAGTAACAATTAAAGAAATGAATATTAAAATAAAACAGTCATCTATACATTAACAAAGGTTTTTTTAAAGATTAAAATAAGTTCTGGTAAGGATTTGGAAAGAGAAATATTCTCATGTAGAGATGGAAGGTGTATGAATTGTTTAACTTTCTGGATAGCAGGTTGACAGTAAATCAAGAAGTAATGAAAATATTCATGTCCTTCAACCAATTATTTCCACTTTTAATAATCTCTTTGAAAGGATTAAGAAGAAAGTCAGGCAGAATTTTATTTAATATTTTTCATCACAACAATGTTCATAAACAGGAAAAAATTCCCTAAATTTCTAACAAGAGAGAGATGGTTATGTATTAACATATTACAGTGGAGCGTATTAGAAAATATTGTTCGGTCATAAAAATGTTTTTGAAGAGTATTTGATGGTATGGTCAAAAGCATTCAGTATGCTCTCAATTATGAAAAAAAAAATCTGTGAGCAATGAAGGGAAAATATATTATGCAAAATACTCCATAATGTTTTTGGAGACTATGGCTTGAATGTGGGAGAGTGATGCATTTTATTTTATTTCCTTCTATTTGCCAACTTATCTACAGTGAGCATATTGTTGCTTTATACTAACAGAAAATATTAAATCTTATTTTAAAATAACTTAAGTAACCCTCCCATAGTGATGCAAAGTTTTGTTTGCTTGTTTAATCAGAGAATTCTTGAGAAAGACTCACCCACGACCTCTGCAATCATGAAAATGAAGCATATTGCTGACGCAGCACAGAGTTTCCATTTGGCACGGGCTTGCTCATTTTCCCTGTTGTCCGTGATCCTGCAGTCACTGTGGCAGTGGTGGATGCCGCCTGACTCCAGCTCCTCTGGCCTCTCTCCAGGACGCTGATCTTTATTCACGGGTTTCTGCTGGAGTTCCACACTACAGATGAGTTTGACAGAGGGAAGAGGTGAACATGGTTGCCAACAAGCACCTCGCTGACTGCTCTGCCCATTCTCGGAACCGCTATTAAGACTAACTGGCTAGGAATATAAACCACAACTTCTACGAGAATTATCAAGTGTAAGCAACATGCAAGAACTTTTCTTCTGCATTCACAACTACTGAAAGTTTTACTTTTATTCAGTCAAGTTCTTAATCAGTCTATTGACTGACCACCAATGATGAAGAGGTATCAAAGAAATAAGAGAAAAGAAGCAGTCCCACTTTAATGCAATTCCTTCCCAGTTTTTTCACTTTGAAAAGACTTTGGACACTCTGCTGCTGTGTCCAAATCAGCTTTTAAAATGTTTTAACAGAACTCATTTGAAGACATAAATGAGATTCTTGGAATTAAAAACTTTGCATTTCTGGCTTTGAAAAGAAAATAAATAAATAAGCTTTAACCTGAAGAATTATTTCATTTAGTTTATCACCATCCAGAATTAAAAGTCTGATGGTTTTGGTTTAGATGATAATTATTATTATGACTCCATCATTATATTGGGTTTTTTCTAGAATAAAATAATATATACAATGTTCATTATAGAAAATCTAGAATTACAGAAAAGGACAAAGCAGAGGGAAAAATCACCAGTAATTTTACTTCTAAGAGACAAGTATTATTGATATTTTGTTGTGTAGTTTTGCAATATTCACATGCATGCTTTTGTTTTCTGTTTTTTTCACATGATTAGGGTCCATATTAGTCAGAATGCTTTGGGTTGCAAGTACAGAAAACAAACCTCTTGCTAGAATATTTAACAAGTAAGAATTAATTGGTTATTCAACTGAAAATGTCTCTAGAGGCATCCAGGCATTCTTTAATCAGGGCTCTAGATCCATTTCTCTGTAGTTCTCAACTATGCTTCAATCTCAAGCTGATCTTCCTCATTGTAGGAAGGATTGCTAAAGGTAATCAGGCTGTGTATTTGCTTTTTCACATACAGGAGGAGTCTCCCCTCTCACAACTACTAAGCAAGAATGTTGAGGTGCAGGCTGATTTGCCCAAATGAAAACCAACTACTATAGATAGAGGAATATGATGAGCTAATTGGCTTAGGTCTTGCTGCACCCAAAAGATTGGCTAAACCCAACCATGCTGACACCTAAAGCTGAGAATAGGGTAAATTCTACTCAAATAACATGGCTACAACTCAGTGAGGAAGGGCTAGAATGGGTATGATTAAGATGACAGTGTCACAAGAGGATGAAGATATAGCTTCTGAACCTGATTCTTAACTATATATATTGTTAACATTTTCCCAATTTATTAAATTTTCCATAGCTTTATTTTTAACAATGAAGAGCATTATTTTTAATATAGAAAATATGGCATAGCATAATTAACTGGTTTTCTATTATTGGACAATTCATTCTTTTCCAATTATCTGCTCATATAAGCACTGCTACGATTCATGTCCTTATAGTTAATCTTTGCTTGATATATTATATTCTTAAAATGGAATCTTAAAAAGGAAATGACTTGGTCACAGAGCACCTAAATTTCTAAAGATTTTGATGTAGTATATATTGTCCAATTGGCTTTGGAATATTTTTTGTCAATGATGTTAGCAGCACTCAGATTTTGAGCAGTTCCAAATAATCTTTGTTGGAATAAGAACCAACAAAGTGATACTTAAATTATTTATATCTTTAAATGTGTAGAATTTTTTGCCTTTGTCATGTAACATATACTGTGATAATAAACAACAGTAGAATTTGGTAGTGTGAGTTACCAAGGGTCATCAACTCAGAGGAGCCAACACAAAAGCATAGTGCAGGTTTCCTCTTTTCTTGTACTGAAAAGACAGCATGAGCAAGGCAGGCCGCCAATTGTTCTGGCAATTCCTGGTTTGCTGTGGTCATAGGAAGCTTTGCTTTATATTATGTTTTTCATGCATCTTGTGGCCAGAAAAAAACAGGTAGAAAGTGACCAGGAGAGAGAACTTATCCTGGATCAGCTTAAAAGCCGTACCAAGGTAGGAATCCTACCCAGGGAACAGCCTCTGGGTAATTACACAAAGGGAAAAAGTGAACAACCTGGGCAATTTTTACTTTAGTCTACTGCTTCCCTATACTAGATTCTAAGATTAAGCAACATGGATTTACTTTGAGCTGAGACAGCTCCTTGAAGTGCTAAGCCAGAAGTCCAAAAGTGAGCTTCAGAGGGTCCGTTGAAATTACATATGAAGTGCTCATATGTGTGCATATGTGTGTGTGTATTATGGGGAAGGCAAGAACACAGTCTTCCTGGGCTCCCAGAAGGGTTTATGACTCCAAAAGAAGTTCAATGCCATTCCTTGTCATCTCATTAGAGCAAAGTTTCAGATCAGGCTCTTGATCTGAAAAATGATGTGAATTCTAGGAAGTATTATTTTAAAAAGAAGGTTATTTTAAAAAATACTATGATGCATAAAAAAATGAAATGTGAATCTACTATTAATGAAAAAATACCAATAGATTTCCATGCATTCAAATCTGGTCAAATCTTTGAAAAGGAGGAGTAATAGCCCAAAGAAATTTACTGCAGTATATAAGAGAAAATAGGAAGAAAAACAGAGAGAAAAAATAAGGAAATATTAGAAAATTTGATGCCAATAGCCTAGAACTTTGAATCCATCTCTTAAAATAGGATTTAGATATACTATCTTTGCATTGTTCAAGTCAGAGCTACAAGTGTACCCAACCCCCAGATAGCATACACCCCACTAGTTAGGCGTGAATTTACCCATCCCCTCTTCTCCCCACACCTGCCTGATACCCTATGAATATGCATGTAACCAAAGCGTTTGTACCTCCATAATATTCTGAAATTTAAGAAAAGGAAAAAATAAGATATGTTATCAATTTGAAAAAAAAGGATTTAGAAAATAGGGCTTTATTTTTGTAATCTTAGGAAAGCATTTTTTATTTCATTTTTATTAAATATTTTATTGTAGCAGTTAAACCCCTTTCCTTCTGTATCTCTAAAATGGAGCTGATAATAGTTTGGTTTTTTTTTGCCCTCCAATTTCACATATTGATTGCATAAAATCACTTTGTTTTTGTTGTGTTTTCAACATTTCATGCATTCACTCATCAAACAAATATTTATTGCATGTCTACAACATGTTCGCACTATGGAAAGTGCTAATGTTACCATTTCTATGAGAAAAAGCTCTTAATCTAAAGATCTTACATCTTAACAGAGGGAGACAAACAGAAAATGAGTCAATAGTAACAAAGACTATATAGTGTGATGGGCAATGACTGGGAGAGGGAAGATGAAGCTACTTTAAATGAGGTGGGAAGAAAAGGCTGTTAATCTTACTGAGATGCTCCCATACATGATGAATCTTTTTTTTCTCTTGCTTCTTTCAAGATTTGCTCTTCAAGTTTTGCTTTCAATATCTTTACTAAGATGTTTCAAGGTTTAGATATGATTAGAGTTTGCCTGATCCTTCTTAGAGTTTATTTTGAACATCATAGATATGTAGATTAACGTTCAACAAATTTTGAAAGTTTTCAGCCATTATGTCTTTGAATACTTTTCTGCTCCTCTCTTTCTGTCCTCCTGGTACTCTTAGTGTGCATATATTAATGTATTTAACCATGCACCACATTTCTCTGAGGCTCTGTTAATTTTACTTCATTCTTTTTTCTTTGTGTTGTTTATGTTGCATAATATCTATTGATCTATTTTCAAGTTCACTGATTCTTTCTCCTGCTAGCTTCTGCCAGTAGCTTTCTATTATTATGGCCTGCCTTTCCCATGGCTAGTACCCTCACACCACTGCACCAGAGCTGACAGAAGGGTCAGTGATCTATTTCTGAAGCGAAGTTCTTGCACCATAAGTTGAGGGCTTAATGAGGATGGGAGTCCCTAGTTGTCTTTGCTTGCGTCTATTGAAATAGCACATATATCCTTTGTGTGAGCCAAGGCAGGGATATTCAGTACCTTGCCATTCATAGGCTAGAGATTTTTCCCTATGATTGGGGGCTGGGTGGAGGAAAGCAGCCATGGTCCTCTTGGCCATGTCTACATTAAAAAGAGGTTCTGCAGCATGGAGCTGGGCAATAGGAGATTCCATCAATTTTCCACTTTGGGAGTGAACTCTAGCCCTCAAATAGAAGCTGGGAGGAGAGGAAGACCTGTCTTTTGGCTATATCCACACAGAGCAGAGTTTCCATTGTACTGAACTTGGGGAAGAGGGGAGGTTAACGGAGCAGGTCCTGGCTCAATTGCTACAGACTGTCACTTCTTACTGAGACTTAATAGATTTTCTTGAATAAATAGTTTTCAATTTTCTGTATGCCCTTAAGACAACTTCTGGAGGCTTTTGGAATTTCCACCAGTTAAATGGTTTTTGAAAATATTCCAGCAGTTTATCCTACCATCTGTCCCTGCCCTTCTTTCTTCTGTACTTCTTTAACATATGACTTGGGGAAATGAGAAACTCAATACTTCCCACCCAGCATGAAGAAAAATATATTGACTGTGTAGGTTGACTTTACACAACTATCTTTCTGCTGTCATGATCCCAACGATCCCAAAGCATAGAGAACCCCATCATTGGAACAGAAAAGGGAGGGAAAGGAGAGGATACACAACAGGGTTCACGACACCTACAGGGCCCAATATCACTGATTCCTGTGGTAAAATTTCTATGAAGAACTTATGATGGCCAGGTGCAGTGGCTCACACCTATAATACTAGCACTCTGGGAGCCTGAGGCGGGCGGATTGCTCGAGGTCAGGAGTTCGAAACCAGCCTGAACAAGGGCGAGACCCCGTCTCTACTATAAATAGAAAGAAATTAATTGGCCAACTAACATATATAGAAAAAATTAGCCGGGCATGGAGGCACATGCCTGTAGTCCCAGCTACTCAGGAGGCTGAGGCAGGAGGATTGCTTGAGCCCAGGAGTTTGAGGTTGCTGTGAGCTAGGCTGACGCCACGGCACTCACTCTAGCCTGAGCAACAAAGCAAGACTACTCTGTCTCAAAAAAAAAAAAGAACTTATGATGATTTCTGTCACCCACCTGGCACATGCCATCAAGAGGTAGCATGCCCCACCCCTGGAATCTGTGCCTTGGGACTTGCTTTAACCTATTAATTGTGGTAAAAATTACACTGTGCCAGTTCTGGGCTTCCGCCCTCTAAAAACTGACAGCTTCCACTGTTGCTCCCTTGCTATTCCGAACTGCCACATAAAGAACTCCATGCTAACCTGATGGAGTGGGACACCACACAGAGAGAGAAGCCATGAAAGGAGAATGAAGACCACCACCCAAAGGCCAACACAAAGGCCCCAGGCCTGTGAATAAAGCCCACTTGGACCTTCTAGCCTATGCCAGGTACCAGCAGAATGCAGTCTCCTGAGCAAACCCAGCTGACCCCGCATGGAGTCCTCCCCAAATCCTGGCCCACAGAATTGTGAGTAATAAAATGATTCTTTTTAAGCCACTAAATTTTGGGGTGGTTCACAGCAATAGGTAAATGAAGCACTCCCTTTGTTTCCTTCAGATTTAGTTTCTTAACAGCTCATAGCAATTTAAATTAAATTAAATTTCACAAAAACTCATGAAAAGTAGAAAAAAAGACAACAAAGGAGAAAAGAGGAGGAATATCAGGGAACAAAGTTATCTATGTAATAGAGACAGAACAAAATAAATGAGAAAGGAGAGGTGAGGAAGAAGCGAGTAAGAGGGAATCTAGGCATGTGTGACTTCAGGAGGAAGTAGATTAAGGATTCAGGAGGCCACATGGTGAGCTTGCGTGTGCAGGAGAGGTGGAGGAGGAAGAGAAACACTAAATTCACAAATAAGGGACATGGGTCCAGAGCCCAGCTCTGCCATAATTAGCCATCTGACCTTGAGAAAGGCATTTGCTCTATCTGTCATTCAGTTTTCTTGCCTGCTAAAATGAGGGATCAGAATAAAGAAACTCTTCCAGATTTAATCTTTTTTATTTGACAAGAAAATAAAAATGAACTTGACAGTTTTTATAAACATTTTGTTCTGAAAACCATACCCACTTATGAGGTGAATAAGACCCTATAACTACACATGATTGGCTTATTTGTGCAACAGTGTTAATAGTCCATTTTAATGAGAAAAGGAATACTGTAGAGATGTTATTTCAATAATGTAGAGATTATCTATTAATAGTGTCCATAAGGTTAGCATTTTGTTGTCAAAAAATTCTGTCTAATCCAACAACCACCCAAAACTAGGCTTTGTTTTTAATGTTGATGATCTCAATAAATCATATCTAATATGATTTTCTAAGAAAAATAATTCTTCTGATGTGAGATAATAGATGTGCTAAATTCTTCATTTTAAGCAAAGCTATAAATATCCTTTTAAAAAGTCTCTTTGCTGTTGCTAAGAGATGCTATCAAATGTAACATAGCTACTCTTTACAATATTAATTTGGTTCCATGAAACAAACAAAAATGTTACACATATTATTAATGGATAAGTATTCTCTTAAATTCTGTTCCTAACATGAATTTATTTCAGATTTTTATTCATTTATTTATATATACTGGATATGTTTCTTTTTGCTCCCCACTCAGATTTAATTCCCCAAGCATACAAAGCTCTCGTTCTTGTATGTCTTTGTCTTTACTGTGTAGTTTTATCAGTCTGGAAAACTTTCCCTAAACCTACTTTCTATGTAGGGTTTCCCTAACCGTACTCTAATTCCTTTTTATTTTTCATTTCTTAGCCCATCACTTCTGAAAAATCTTTCTCTGACCCCAAAGTCTGAGTAAGATGTAGGTTATCTGAATATATTCTCATTAAATGCACCCAGCATGACACTAACATGCTATTTTGTAATTGCCTAGTTCTTAGATGCATTTCACATTAGACTAAGTTTAAAGAAGACAGAGATCTGGGACCAGAAATTTTTTCTTTTCCATTATGTATGTTCAGCATTTAGCACAGGTGTGTTTAATTAGTAATTGTTAAACAAGTGAAAAATGAATGACTGTATTGTGTGTGGCACTGTGGGAGGTATTAAAAAGAGCTATAAAGTATGTAAAAATTAAAATCAGCCATATTTATTATAGGCATGTATTAATATATTGATAACTGTATTATATGAGTAAGAAAATAATTCATTTTAAGATCAATACAACCACAATTTTGTCACATAGTTGAAAGTCTTTTTTCTAAATATAATTTAATATAATTTGTTATCTGTTTTAAAAGTGAAAATAATTAAGAAAAGGAAAGTAAACACATTCGATTGTATATGTCTATTTTCTGCAAGAAAAACTACAGGTGAAAAACACACATTAATAAAATGTTTCCTTTATGTGCTTAGGATATTTAAGGAATCAAATCAACTATATAGACTATTGCAATTCTTCAGTCTACAATTTATCTGAGTCAGTCAACAGCTTATAAAATGTTCCAAAATGTGCCCAAATTGCAAAGCAAAAGTTTGCCATTCGGAAGCAATAGGATTTAGAAATGTATTGATTATCAAGATAGAAAATTGTGAAGTAGACCCAGATGTCTATTACCTGTCTAGTGTGAAGGCGTACATCCTGGTGCCTTTATCATTCACCAGGTAAGTTCTTTCAAGAAACTCCATGATGGCCAGGATACAAGCTGCTGCTGCTGCTGCTGCTGCTGCTGCTGTTGTTGTTGAACTCACTGTCCAGTTTTGCAATCAAAGCGGCACTGCAATTATTTACACGCTTTCCAAAAATAAAAATAAAAGGGCTCCAGATATTAAAATAACAAACTTTTGACACCAGTGTTCTTGGTAGGTCTGCCAAAATCACAGCCTCCTTGGTATATTAACTGATCTCATTCTTCCACCCACAAAAACTTCTTTCCCAGGGAGATTTGCAGGTGGGGTCATATGAAGAATGAGTGTGTGTGTGTGTGTGTGTGTGTGTGTGTGTGTGTGCGCGCGCGCATGTGTGTGTGTGTCCCATGCTTTTTTATTCAACTGTGCTTTCTAAGAGGTAGAGGAGCTCAAGGGCTTTCTACTAATTGCTGATGTAAGGATGTGACCTTCAGAACACACCTGGGTGAGCTGCAAATAGTTACCCTTCTGTACTCTAATACATTAATCTCTTCTTTTTATTTCACCCTCTTCTTTTTTTATTTGGGGAGGTCTCTCTATCAACCTCACATATTTCTCTTAGGATTTGGTTCTAAGATGACCTGTAAGCAGCTGTTAGAATTTACTACTCCTCTCCTAGGACCATTTTAGAATTTGAATATTGGAGGGAAAGACAAGGGTCATTAGTTACTGAAGCCTGTGATCTGAAACCGTTCCTGATGCGGCAGCTTTGAAACCCTTTTGACAGGCAAGAGAGGGGCAGACTTCGCTTATAAGTAAATAGCAGCTCTCAATCATGCAAGACCCAACTGAACTGTGTTCTCCCTGACCAGGGTACCCTCTACTGAGGTTAAAAGCCTCCCCCAAAGAAACCCTACCAGGCATACCAATCACAGCTCTCAGGAACAGAGCCTCTGACTTGCTCCCAAGACAGACCTTCAACTCCCCAACTCTTAGGAATTGACCTTTTACTTCATTGTAAAGCATGTTCCTTCCCAAATAAGAGAAGGGACTCTATAGCCCAATGGCCAGAGCCTGCTCTCACAGCAGGCATTTGTATGAGAGCTGAAAGGTGTCCAACACCTGCACAGATACTTGCAGGGGTCAGGGGTGCAGAGTGGAAAAGAAGAGGTAAACCCCAGACCATGAAGGAGTCCTTGCCATCTTCTTATGCACAGTCACTTCCTAGTGAGAAAATCCCGGATTAACCCAGTGGCCCTGTATCATGGGAAGTTGCCCAGCATGCTGAGCCAAGATCTCCCACCATGGCCCCAATTAAATTAATATTGTCTCCTAGAAGGATAATGGGGCTCAGTGGCAATTGCAGTGAGAGGAGAGGTCTCCTTTGGCTGAGACTGGGAATGTCAGGTCTCCTGCCACGTCTGTGGTGGGGCTGTACTCTGCATCAATCCTAAGATTTCAAGCACTCTCATCTATAACATAAATTCCAAGGTCTTCTCGTAGGACCCCACTGCCTAACTGATCTTTAACTTTGCTCTGACAGTTGGGAGCCAAAGTATTGACTCCAGGGAGGCCACTTTTCCATGCAGGAGAAGGCATGAAATTCTGGGTTTAGTGTTAGCAGGATAAAGATCAAAGTATTTTTTTTCACATATATTCTTACTCTCAACTTTGCAAAATAACAGGCTATTCTGTGGAGACAAAAGTAGGAAACCAGAAAGAAATTACTAGTCTGCCTGTGCAACACAGTGCCCTACTTCACAGCTTGAGCAGAAGTAGAATTCAAGCAAATGAATGTCAAAAAATGAAGAAACTACTCTATATCAGGCTGAAATCCCTTAAGGATAAGTGCAAAGAAGGGCAGATAAGTCATATTTCCAAATAGGGAAAGGGAAAATTTGACTAGAGATATTAACAGAAAATAAACAAACTGGAAGTTTGAAATTCCACATCATGAACTTTGTCACTAGTACAGATATGGATGCGCAGATCTATGTCTACCTGTTTATGAGTCTATGAGTGTGGAGAATTCATGCCATGTCATTAATGTGGATTGCCTATGGGACAAGGATAGACTGAGAGTAGCATGGGGCTGAAATAGGACTGGGAAAGATGGAGATGGGAAAAGAGGGAATGGGAGACCCAAGCGAAAAATATAAGAAAATATTGCCCCCCCATGTATTCTATGATCCCTTCTATTTATTTATAAGTTGAACCATATAAAGTGGCCATTTTATAGGCTTTCTATGTTTTAATATCAGCAATTTTATATGTTTCAACTTAAATATATATGCACATATGGAGATACCTAAAAATATATATGAGGACAATACATTTAAAAATAAATAAATGTGAATATTTGAAAAATATTGGGAAACTAGGCACCATCTTCATCAAAGGTTTATGAATTTCTAAGTGCCACTCTTGAAGATGATTACTATAAACCAAAGTTTCTGTTGTTAGTAGCCTAAGAGCAAGGAATGGTGGATTATAGCAAATAAAATATTTTTATGTTAAAAAAGTAAGTTTTGCTGCTATTAATTTAGATATAAATAAGTTGATCAAGAATTATCTATATGTTGTTATATAAAATATACATCTGTTGATCACCTTATCCTCTTAAACATTCATTTTAACTGCACCATCATTTCCCCTTCCAAATATTTGTGTGTCAGCACAATTTCATTTTGTGTGAAAATTTTGTGTGAAAAATTTTCTATCCTTCCTGCCTAACCTTTGGTCTACTTTGGCATAAACTTCCCACCAAGGGCCAACTGCCCATTAAGAGCCAACAGCCCTAATTAGGCTTCACAAGCAGCACAGAATATGTATTTGGAAAGCAGCTCAGATCAAAAAAGAAAATCTCATATCTTGTTGACAGTTCTTTTCGGTGGACATCCTGTTGTTCATTCTAGTTTCCTAGGCAACCAGCTTCTAAGCTATCCTGAATTACAGGTTGTCCTCTCCGCCTACCCTCCATCACAAGTTTGTAGCAACTGAATGGGCAAAATGCAATCTATAACAGTTACCCCTAGGAGTAAATATTCTATCAGCCACTGGAACATCACTAATATAATCAAAGAACTGGTTTGGATACCTAATGCTAGCTATTGCCAGCAACAATTTTTTAAAAGGATTTTACAAACAGTAGCTAATTCTTATGCAAAAATAATTTATATAAATGTCTTACACATTGTTCGATATTCCACTTGCAGAAAGGATATGTGTATTCATGTAAAGCTACTATGCTCGTCCCTAGACACTAAGTACCAAGTTCTCACAATTTGTGTTCCCAAAGTTTAAACTTATTATTTCAGTAATTCTTCATGTTGCCATTGTTTGCATGTAACTATGTTTTTAAAAGAAACACAAAAATGTGTCTCTTTTTAAATAATAAATGTGGACTTTCACCATGTTTGTCTCTTTCCTGTTTGTGTTAAGAGGCAATGTGGTGAAGTGGTTTTATACATGGTCTTTCTGGCTGGGCATGGTGGCTCATGCCTGTAATCCTAGCACTCTGGGAGGCCAAGGTGGGACGATTGCTTAAGCTCAGGAGTTCAAAACCAGCCTGAGCAAGAATGAGACCCTGTCTCTACTAAAAAATAGAAAAAAATCTGGCTGGGAAACTAAAATATATATATATTAGCTGGGCATAGTGGTGCATGCCTGTAGTCCCAGCTACTTGGGACGCTGAGGCAGGAGCATCACTTGAGCCCAAGAGTTTGAGGTTGCTGTGAGCTAAGCTGATGCCATGGCACTCTACCGGGCAACTGAACAAGACTCTATCTCAAAAATTTAAAAAAAGTAAAAAATATATAGTCTTTCAAGTTAGATAGAATTAGTTTTGGTTTCTTTTTTTACCTTAGATGTATGACCTTGAACAAGTTGCCTGACCTCAGTGTTTTTCATTTTCTCCTCTGTAAAATGGGGACATTGATAGAATCCATATTATAGAGTTCTTCAGAAGAAAAAATACAATATGTATAAAAATTCTTAGTGTAGTCTCTGGTATACAACCAGTTTCCTATTGCTTGGAATTGCTATATACTTGGCCATGTATAAATAAAATGCTTTGATTGTTCTGAAAAATTGATCCCAGACATAGCAGAAAGCTAAGAATTACCCATAAATGGAAAAATCCATCAAGGAAATAGAAGTTATTAAAAAGAATATCTGACAAATTCATCCATTAGCTGTATGACTTTGGGTAGATCTCTCAAACTCTCCGGGTTCAACTTTCTCAGATTATAGATTTATGCCTGCCTCATACTGCCCTATACCAGTAGAATGCTGTTCAGAATGAGTCCTCAGGACTCACCAATTTTCCACAACAGGTGAGAAAATTCAAACTCAACCAGTGTAATTACCTACTAAATATTCCAGACTTATGTATTCTCAAATAGACTATGAAGACCTATTATCTGAGTAGTATTTCCTTTAGCAAGATAACTCACATTACTACAGTGTGAGTTTTTTTAAATTTCCATCCAGGAATATGAAAAGGAAAACACTGGAAATTTAATTGGATTGTATTTTAAAGAACATTATGAAAATTTTATTTTAATCTAAAGTAAACATGTGTAAGATACAAACCATTTCTGATATTTCATACATTATTTGAAAACAAACTGAAAGCCATATGACTTATTTCCTTCTTGACAAATTAGGACCATATAACATTTTTTTTTACCATTTTTATTTTTTAAAGAGATTGAGCTGTAGACATGTTCCAGTGAAAATGCAATTTGTATTTGTTGAGAAAAGAAACACTTGATAAAATATTGATACTAAAAGAATAAAAGAAATATTTTATTAAGTCTCAGATGCAATGAAATAACACAAAAATAAACTAGCAGTGCTTAGGTGGGAGGGAATAGTGGGGCTCAGTGGTTGAAATGTTTATGAAATATATATTTTATTGATTAGTCTTCATATGCCACACTTCTTTTTCTAAGCCCTCAGCAAATTTGAACTAATTAACCCTTAAAAGCTCCCTCTAGTCTAGATATGATTGATTATGTCTTACAAACTCCAAAGCACTGGTCTGCTGGCTTCACAATCTCACAACTATATGTCTCTCTTGGTTTTATTTATATAAATAAGCAAGAGA